AGCTGAGGCTGGCCTCAAACTCACAGTGATATTCCTGCCTCAGTCTCCAGAGTGCTGGGATGACAGGCATGTGCCACCACACCCGGCTTTGTTAATTCATATATATATGATTTTTTTTTTTTAGTCTTTTTGAGACAGGGTCTCGCTATGCAGTTCAGGCTGGCCTTGAGCTCACTTTGTAGCCCAGGCTGGCCTCGAACTCACAATGATCTACCTGCCTCAGCCTCCCAAGTGCTGGGATTACAGGCCTGGGCCACCATGTCTGGCTATTATACTTGTATATCTTACATTAAATCTGTTTTTTTGGGGCTGGGGATATAGCTCAGTGACACAAGCGCCTGCCTCACAAGGTCTTGAGTTCAATTTCTGGTACCAAAAATTAATAATAATAATACTAATTTCAACAAGACTTCTGCTTTGAGAGAAGTTAAAACAGGTAGGGAAGGAGTGAAACGGAAAACAGAAGTAAGTGGGTGGGTTCCCACATAATATAAACGGGCCTGGAGAGGTTTGGGGGTCAGGGACAGACCTCCCCTGGCAGATCTCTGGGGTCCTGTGTGGTCCTGGAGCGGAGTGTCAGGGTCCTGTGATCACTGGGTACCATTCATTTCCTGATGGTGCATTCAGGCAGGCTCACTTCCTGTCCTGCTCTCTACACCCAGTTTAGGTCTTCAACCATGCATGAAAATAGCAAGAATTTTGGAGGTTTCCCAGGCTGGTTCAAACGCCAGCAATGCCAGGTTAATGATTTTGTCTTTTAAGAGTTTATTTATTTTTTGTACTGGGGATTTTTTGTTTGTTTCATGAGACAGGTCCCGATTTGTAGCTCCAACTAGCCTTGAACTCACTCTGGTCCACGCTGGCTTTGAACTGGCAATCTTCCTGCATCGGCCTCTATAATGCTGAGATTCCAAGAGCATATACCACCATGCCTGGCTCTGGTACTAGGGATTGAACCTACGTCCCTTGCACTGAGCTTTATCTCCAGCCCTTCTTATGTTGAGATTGGGTCTACTTAAGTCTCAGGCTCAACTTAGCCTTGCCACCCTCCTGCCTCAGCCTCCTAGAGTGCTGAATTACAGTCCTTCACTTCCATGCTCAGCTTACCTGTTGTTTTCCTTGAGGAATGTGTTTGCCGAAGGACTGAGCTTCTGTGCACCGGCTTTCAGTCCCGCTGCCTAGAAGCTTTTGTTTTCCACCTCCCCGCTTACGTCGACTCAGGGCGCTGGGGGTGGGGGGAGCACGAGGGAGCCCGCTGAAGGAGCTAAGGTCCCCTCCTCGCCACAGCCGCCCTTGCCTCACCCCGGAACCTGCCACTCGGTCCTTGTGGGGTTGTTCACAGAATGAAGTGGGCTCAGCCTAGGCCTGGCTGGAGACATTACATGTTTGCGCTTCACTTCCCCTGGGTAATACTTCTGCAGGAACCCTCGCCCTCCTGCAGCTCCCAGGTGTGCTGGGTTTGTGAGATGCTTTGTGTAAATGTTTCACTGTATAGACTGAGTTGGC